GTGTGTGTGTGTGTGTGTGTGTGTGTGTGAAGTCCGAAGTCCGGCAGCGGTGTGTGTGTGTGTGTGTGTGTGTGTGTGTGTGATGGCGGTGGTGATTTGCTGATTAGGATCTCTAGGCTCTCCTTTCAAGATTTTGGATTGCTGAATGGTGAGAACATGGTTCTGAGGCCCAGTAGTAGAACCTCCTTTCCCTCTTAACCCCTTCCTTTGCCTTTCTTGACAGTGGTGGTTGCTCGAGCCCCCAGGAAAGTGCCTGTCTCCCCCTGTTCTGCCACCAGCTCCACGCCTCTTTCATCACGGAAAGGTAAAATATGTCTCTACAAGTCCCTGGTTTTAGAGGAACTCTTTCTCGAAAGGGGGTCAAGCCAGGTGCCCAGTCCTTGTGGCTCGCACGTTCATCAACCTCCAATTTGCCTTGGAGTTTATTTGCCTTGTGGCCTTACGTCCTCAAATCAAAGAGCTATTATTTCCTTGTTCTTTGATCTGAGGGAGCCTTGGTATTTTTGGAGGGCTAAGGGTTCCATGGAAGAGAATCTTGTGGTGTTAGGGATGACATAATTTTAACTTCAAACATGTTTTAAATGTCCAGTTTTAGTGTTTGGTTGTTTTTGTCTTAATATCCATATGTACATTTGAATATATTTAAGTGCTCCTGCCCTAGTTCAAGAATCAGCACCATAATCAAAAGTGCTGGTCTCATTGTTTAGTGTAAACGTTTTTCCGTTGTTTATGCACATTTTTCATTCTTTTGCTCTTTCCTCCCTTCATTTTTTTCCCCTCCCCATTTCAATTATGGTGTCTGTGTGTGCTTTCCAGCTTGTAGTTTCTGACCTCTCTTACGGAAAATAGGAGAATCCAAGTAGGGGGAATTGCTTCATCTAGTCCTTCTGTTTGGGGCGAGGAGGAGAAAGAAACTGTGCTTTATTCCTTTTAGGAGGAAGTTAAGCAGATAGGAAGAGTAATTTCATAGGAACACAAAGGGCTTTTAATATTTAATGGACTTTCAGATTAATTCAAACTTCACCTTATTTTAAATGTTTTATTAGAAAATCTCAGTTACTTTATCTAAAAGGGAATAGTAAAAGTTTTTGAAAAATTTATTCATAGCCTATCTTGAGTTACAACCGACTATTTTGTAAATTTGTTATCACCTTACAATGACAGAACCAACCCATAAGTGAAAGGAAATGGAACCCACTGGATTAAAACTGCATGCATTTGGAATGGCAGCACAGCTCCTTACTAGTAGGCCATCAGAGCTCCCTCAATGGTAGATGGGCTGATTTTGACTCATGGTGACTCTCCATTGGGTTCCTGAGACTGTCAACCTTCCCTGGAGGAAATTGCCTCCTGTTTTTCTAGAGAATATCCACCTTTCAGATAGCAGCCCAGAACTATCAGAAGCTCCTTGAACCTACTCTCACCAAGTTCTTCATCACAGTCACTTTCTCTTGGTATATGTACAGCTTACAAATCATTGAAAAGATTTAGAACCTCTCTTGGCATTAAAACCTAAACCAAACAAAACCCGCTGCAATTGAGTTGATTCTAACTAATGGTGCCTTTCCATTAGCTTCTGAGGCTATGAAAGTGTTTCTGTTGTTTTTGGAGGATGGGGAAGGTGAATCTTTGAGTTTTATTGGGAAGGAGAGTGCATTGTAATATGTGAGGCTGGACACATTGGCCTTGCAGTGCCTGCAAATTAAAATGAATGGTCTGGTCCCCCTGGAAATCTGGACAACCTCCTCAGAAGAACCAGTCTGAGGAAGCAACCTATTGTCCCCTGTCCCTGAATACTAGTATCATTTGGCTTTGAGACTGCAGACCCCACCCACTGCATCTGCTGAACAGCCCCAGGTTGTCACTTGGTGCTGCAGGACCATAGCAATCAACTAAGGTTGGAGCTGGATGGGGAAAAGGTTTCTATCTCTCTTATGCACTGCTTGTTTGACCACTGTGGAGCCAAGAGACATAGCTTCATCTCGCTGTCCAAGCTGGTCAGAATGCCAATGAGATTGATATTCAAAGAGATATCAATTTCAAGAGAAAGCAAATAACCTTCCTAATGGTTGTACTCTCCCAGGGTAGCCTGTGTCTGGCTGCTGAGGAGGGGCATAGTCCTTGCAAGGTCAATGAACAGCATGCTAGTGCCATGCCAGTGATCCTGCACAAAGAGGAGTGAGTTGCTGGTCACCTCCTGTCTCCTAAATAACCCCAAGTCCTCTAGGGTGTCCTGGATCTGCTGGCAGAAGATTCAGATTCTGTACTTTCATATCCTCTTGCACAAACTCTCTGAAGATATGAAACACCTGCTCCTAACTAACTTTGCAGTCTTGAAGTTGGTGCTGCTGGAGCCATCAGCTCTTTCGAGAGGCTGCAAATCTTAAGAAGACCAGTATGGGTTTGAACTGCTGATCTTTGGTTAGCAAAAATTTTAAAAAGGAGTTTTTTAAGGGATCTCTGGTGGCCTAATGAATAGGATGTTAAACTGCCAATCCAAAGCAGGGTGCTTTGAATCCACCAGCTGCTCCAGGGGAGAAAGGTGGACAATTTCTTTCCTTCTGTGTGATACACAACCTCTGAAAACCCAATGATGGTTCAGCAGTGAGTTTGTTTTTACCCCAGGACAATGAAGGAGGTTTTGGATAGCAGCCCACACTACCACCAGAACTCTTTTTTTTTTTTAATTATTAAGTTTTATTAGTATTAATGAACATTTACAGGGATTTTGGGTTTTCATTTCTTCATTGCTGTACCATTCTCTCTACCCTCTTCCCCAATTTGTTCTTCTTCCCCCGCCCTCCGAATGTCTGTTTTAATTGTCCAATTGCCACAGTGCTTGTCAAAGCCAGTTCTGATTAATCTCCTTTGTCAGTGTGTCCTTTGCCATTCCCTATCATTCCTCCCTGAGAGAGACTTCACCCTGAGTCATAAGGAAAAGGGGATGGCGTATTCTCTTAGCTACTTCCTGCTGAAAAGGGACACTGTGGGTTTCAGGGTGAAGATCTTCTCTCACTACTCTAAAGGGCCCTTTTGGCAGTAGGAAACACATAGACTATTATGGAGATTGATTTTGGAATTTAGATGCACTGTTATTAATTGTGCTTAGCCGTACATGTTCATATCCTTGAAGATGTTATCATGGGGGTGTTGCAACCTAGAAGACACAAATTTAACAAGTTATAAGTACATGAGTCAAAAATTATGGAAAAGTAAAAGAAAAGATTCTTTCATTGTTTTACAAACCCTCCCCCAGGTCCCCTCCACCATGTAGCCATCGCTCTAGACTCCTGTGATGACAGAAATACCTAGTCACATATCTCTTTTAAACAGTTTTCTCCCTCCTCTGTTTCAGTGCAGTATACATTATTGAACCCATCTTACTCAGTCTCTCCCCAACCCCGAGGTTAGTCCCATTCTACAACAGTGGCATCATGCAATATTTGTCCTTTTGTGACTGGGATATTTCACTCAGCATAATGTTCTCCAGAGTCAACCATTTTGAATAATATTGGATGAGTTCCTTTTTGAAGGAGCTTTGGTAGAGCAGCAGGTAGTGCTTTGGCCTGCTAGCAGTAAGGTTGCAGTTCAAATCTCCTAGTCACTTGACAAGAGGAAGAGTTACAATCTCAAACTTGCTATGAGTCAGAATCTATTCCATGGCAGTAGGTTCATCTTGGTTAAAGTAAGGCTAAGGAATGCTAGTTGCCTGGTCCCTATGGAGCTGTACTAACCCAAAGAACAGGCATCTCTGGAAGTTGGAGTCCACTAGCAGCTCAGAACTTGACAAAAGTGTCACCTAGCAATGAGAGAGTGAGTGAGTGAGTGAGTGAGTGAGTGAGTGAGTGAAAGTAAGGCTAAATAAGAACTATTTAACCTATCTACAAATTTACCTTAAAGACTCATTCAGAGTCTCGTTCATAATCTTGAGAACTTATACCTGTGTGACGCAAATAATTAAGTGCTCAACTCCTAGCCCAAAGGCTGATAGTTAGAACCCACTACAAATTTACCTCAGAAGACAGGCCTAGAAATATTTCAAAATGTCACAATCCTGAAAACCCTGCAGAGCAGTTCTATTCTGCATGTGGGTTGTCATGAATTAGAATTCATTCATTCAAGGGCCACAAATAACAACAAACTTCTTGACTAAATCCCATTCAGAATTGACTAAATACCACATCTCATTGTCTGGTCTGAAGGAATAACCAGAAAAAAAAGAACAGGACCTCATGAATATGCTCTAGGCAGCATATATATGAGGTACCTTTTTAAGCAGTTCACACATTTCTACTTTTAATACCAGTAAACAGTTTTTAAAATTGGTAATGTCCTTATAAAGATGAGGGCATTCAATCCTGGGTTATAGAACTTGTAAAGGTCACACAGCTAAATCAGTACAACTGGAATTGAATCCTGTACTGTACCACTTTCTAGTGGTAAAAACATTTCCACAAATTTCTGGAAGGCAAACAAGCCAAAGGATTTTATTTATTTAGTTAGTTAGTTAGTTAATTTTGTTTTGTTTTGTTTATTTTTAAAGCAGTTTCCCTCACCACACCTTCCTTCATTGACATTATGTTTCATACAATCATTCCCATACATTGTGCTTTATAAAGTTAATTACCATTGGACTATGTCCACCTTACACTGTCTTTCCAGGTTTCTGCTGGATCTTTCCCATTTCCTTTACCCTCTCCCTCCATTCACCAAATTGTGTGACCCTGTGACTTCCCCCCACCTATCCTCATCCCTCTGCTCCCTTTCCTCCTTGGACTCCCATACACATTTTACTAGTTATCTTTTTATTTTTACAATAATGCTCTACTGCAGTATCTGTCCTTATGAGACTGAGTTAGTTCACCAAGCATATGGTTATGCAGTCTCTCCCAAGTTAGGTAGTAGTATTTTTCAAAATTGTTGCTCAGGATCATATTTTTTAAAGGCTTTTTGTATATTTTTTTTAAAGTACATGCAATATAACTTCATGCAGTCTGTATGGAAGTAATGTTTATAAGTTTGTGTAAAAAATAGAATTTGAGAGAAAGTGGTATAAAACAATAGATACATATAGTAATTCAATAATTTGTTCCTATTGGTCTTCTGTTTATTTTTATGAAGAAGCAGGGATTTTCCCCTCAGTTTTTTATTTCTTACTTTTGAAAGATAATTTGAAATTGTATTTCCTTTAGGAGCTGGAGAGAAAGTAGCCATGTGTTTTGGAAAATGGAGCCAGTTTGTGAGAAACTTACATTGCTATGTACTTAACTGTGCATCTTGTATGTACTCTAAGTAACCTTTAATTATTAAGTAAAAATCTGACAGTTGATAACACATGTTGCCACCTTTATATTAAGAAAAAAGTGTATTAAATGGCAAACTTCTGTATTAGAGTAAGAATATTTGAATAGCAGTTTGTGGAAAAAACATGGAAAATATTTTTCAGCAGTTAAAATTGTTAATACCATTTTTCTAGGCTAAAGGGCCATTATCAAATTCAGCTTTATTGACTGAGTACAGCTTTATTATGTTACATTTTCTAATTTTAAGGTGGATGTAATAATGCCCTTGAGAACTTAATATTAAAGAGAGAAATTAAATCCTTGATGGATCTGCCCCCTCTCCACTACTGATGGCAATTGCATTCTTAATTATTTAATTTGTTTCCGTGTTACAGCTGAAAATAAGTATGCAGGAGGGAATCCAGTTTGTGTGCGTCCAACTCCCAAATGGCAAAAAGGAATTAGAGAATTCTTCAGTCTGTCCTCTAAAGATTCAGAGAAAGAGAATTGTCTTCCAGAAGCAGCAGGAAGCAGCAGCTTAGGAAAAGCAAAGTAAGTTTTTATTTCCTGGAATAAATATGAAGACAATATTAATATTCTGGTAACTAAAGGAAAAATGGTGTGTTGTCTAACTTTGAAATTTCTCTATAAGCTGTTAAAATAACACAAACCAAAGGTTTTTAAAATATGTAGTACATGTATTATTATATTATAAATATATTATTGTGATTCCTCTAAATGTCAATTGTTGTTGTTGTTGTTGTTAAGTGCCATCGAGATGCAGGCGATTCATAGCGACCCTATGAAGGAGAGTCCTCGATGCTTGGGTGCCTTTCATCCTCTCTCCAGGTTCATAGGGTTTCCGGAGGCAAGCTGTTATGGAAGTGGACGCCACTCCTCCTTCCACGAAATGTCAATTAATAAAAGATTTAATACACGTTTTTAAAAAATGTGCACAGGCAATTGACTATGTGGACCATAACAAGCTATGGCTAATATTGAGAAAAATGGGTATCCCAGAAGACTTAATTATATATGTATATCTAGACCAAGAAGCTGTTGTCCAAAGAGAGCAATGAAACACTGCATGGTTTAAAATCAGGAAAGGTGTATGCCAGGGCTGAATCCTTTCTTCATATTTATTCAGTCTGTACACTGAGCAAATAATTCAAGAAGCTGAACTTACTGAAGAAGAATGTGATACTAGGATCAGAGGAAGACTCATTAACATCCTGCATTATACAGATGACACAACTTTGCTTGCTGAAAGAAAGGAGGACTTGAAATTCATGCTGCAGAAGATCAAAGATACAGCCTTACATATGAATTGCATCTCAACAAGATGACAAAAATCCTCACCACCAGACCGATAAACAATAACATGATAGATGGAGAAAAGATTGAAATTGTCAAAGATTGCATCTTACTTGGGTCCATAATCAGCATTCTTGGTACCAAGAATCAGGTGATCAGGAGACATATTGCATTGGGCAAGTTGGCTGGCAGGGACCTTTCCAAAACACTGAGGAGCAATGATGTTAGTTTGAAGACCAAGATGTGCCTGAATTAGGCTGTGGTCTTTTCAATCACTTGCTATACCTCTGCAGGCTGGACTATGAATAAGGATGACAGAAAAAGAATTGATGTCTTTGAACTGTGGTGTTGGAGTACTGAATATCCCATGCACTGAATATTCCAAAAGAACAAACAGATCTGTCTAGGAAAAAGTACAACCAGAATGCTCCTTGGAAGCAAGGATGACAAAGATTCATCTCACATACTCTGGACAATGCTGCTAGGTATGTCTATTCCTTGGAAAGGGATATCATGGTTGGAAAGGTCAAGGATGAGTAAAAGAGGGGAAGACTGATGAGAATGAAACAGTGACTTCAGCAATGGGCTCAAGTGTATCAGAGATGATGAGCATGGCACAGTACAGGACAGGGTTCACAACTATCATAGGGTCACTATGAGTCATACTTGACTTGATAGCACTCAATAACAATAACAACAAATGTCAAATATCTTGAAAAAGGTATTTTTACTCATTTACTCAAAGAGGATCAGTTTCTATTCAGATAAGTAATACATCATTAAGAATTAATTTTCTTGGCGAGTTCTGGTGGCCTAGTGGCAGGAAACTGCACTGCAATCCCAGAGGTGCGCAGTTCAAATCCACCAGATGCTCTGCTGAAGAAGGAGGAACAATCACCTCCTGTACCAGTCAGATCCGATTTGACGGTACACACACACACTAAATAAATAAATAAATAAAAATTTTAAAAAAATTAATTTTCTTGAGGAAAGGAGAAAACATGTCAAATAAAAAGAATCTGAGTTTCAGTAAAAAAAGAATTAATTTTCTGACTATTATTTAATTTTCACTATCCACATCAAAAAAAATTTCTTGTGTTTTGAGTGAAAATTTACAGAGCAAATTGGTTTTCCATACAGATTTTGGCTTAGGACATTACAACCCATACATTAAAAGCATTCTTTGTGCACACCCATGTTTATTGTGGCTTTGTTCACAGTAGCAAGGAGTTGGAAACAACCCAAGGGTCCATCAACAAACAAATGGATAGAGAAGCTGTGGTATATTCACACGATGGAATACTACACTGCTTTGAAAAACAAGGAACTCATACAATATTATTCAAATTAGGTGACCCTGGAGGACATTATGCTGAGTAAAATATCTCAGTCACAAAAGGACAAATACTGTATGGTGCCACTGTTGTAGAATGGGACTGACATCAGGATTGGGGTAAGACTGAGAAAAACTGGATAAATTACGTATATTGCATTGAAACAGATGAGGGAGAGAACAGTTTAAAAGTGATATATGACAGGTTAT